AGTATCTTACAGAATGAGAAAAATCCCATACAGGATACGTAGCTCTCAGGTTCTCACGAAGGCACCCAGCTACCAATGATACTGCCCGAGCCGTGACTGGATCCCCTCAGGTCCTCAAGGAAACTTCCTTTGGTCCTCATCATGGACATCCTGTTCCCTCTTCATATTTTGGGAGAAGCTGACCCTTTGGCTGCCTGCCCACTCAGGATGGCTCCCTGGTGACACCTAGCACATTCTTCTGTGTAGACAGAGAGGGTGAAGTGAACCAAAGGGCAGTTTTCCAGGACTGTCATCGCCCAAAAGGACCAAGCCTCATGCCTGCATGGGGATTCTTCTTGTAGCCCCTAATCTAGTCTTCCTCCCTGCCAGAGAGGTTTGGAGGGGATTCTGGAGAAGGTGAGCAGGAATTTCTAAGTGCCAGCAGTTGTGAGGAAGGGAAGAGAGAGCGGGAACATGTGGGGGAACTGCATGTCATTGTGCAGGAATGAGGGAGGATGCCAGAAGCAAGAGGCAAGTCTACAGGGACGGAGCATCAGAGACCACAGTGTATGGGGTCATGCACGTATGCTCCTGAGTTTGGGCTGTGTCCAGTGAGCAGCAGAACATCTAGATACTTCTGGAAAGGCCTTGTGTAACTCTTCCCACTCAGATTACTGAACATTTCCTACACACCAGTGACTTCACTAACTGCATGCATTGATTCCTTTGTTCTCCACAGTAACCGATAGTATGGGCTCTGTCATTCACCCCATTTCACAGAGGGGGAAACTGAGGAACAGCAAGATGAAGTTTGCTCAAGACCACTCATCTAGCAAGTGGTGGAGCTGGGTTTGAGCCTAGGGATTCTGCCTCCAGAGTCTGCACGTTTGCCCCATGTGCTGTGTGTCTGAAGTGGTCAGGGCGTACCAGGCTGTGGGCAGCTCAGAACCCCTGACTTCCAGTGGGCAGATTTCTGCCCATTTGTCCAGGTTTCCCTCACCTTCATGTCGAACCAGCTGAACAACTGAAAATTCCATCCCCTGCAATCGGTTTCAGAGCGTGTTTTAGCCGAGATGAATTCGAGTTTGATCTTGCAGGCCTCACGAACTCACAGAGGTATTTTAGAGATTCTCCTGCTTCTGTTGGTGACACAGTGTGTGGGGCTTATTTCCACTGACAGGCAGTTTTACCATTATTTTTTAAATTATTTGTCTCAAATAGTTCAGGCAGTGTCAATGGCAGAGATAAGAAACCTTGTAGAATAAAATGTCAGTGCAGGAAAGGAGCTAAGAATCAGTTAATCCCACCCAGGGATGGTAAACACAGGGGTGAGAAGTGGCTGGGAGCTCTTTTTGAGGACACACCTGTGGACTTCATGAGGGTGGGGGCTGTCAGCTCTCCCTACAAGCCTCAAGGTCCCTGCAAAATAGAGAACAAAGACATGCATTGTGTGCTTTCTCCTGAGTGGCATCCTTCATTTAATTTGCTTCTCACAACCTAAGGTAGGACATCTTTTCTCCATTTAAATAAACAGAAAGGAAAGCTCAGAGCGGTAACAGGATTGGCCCATGGTGACTCAGCTCGTGACTCAGAGTTGGCATTCTAAATCAAACTGAATTCTTTTTTCCCATCTTCACTGTCAAAGAGACAAAAGGAGTTGCCACCTATGAGGGTTCAGAAAATGAGACTATTATGAGCCTTCCTCCGTGACCCTGACCACCAGCCGATCTTCAGGGAGCACTTAGGCGGAGCACTGTGCACAGAGCCGAGCACTTCACGTGCGTCATTTCCTTTCATCCTCAGTCACCCTTCCCAAGGTGTTATTTTGCCTGTTCAACATCTGAAGAAGCTGACGCTCCACAGGGTGAGGCAACAAAGCTCAGGTCTGTCGGGATCCTTTACATCATGTCCTACCCATGGCCTGTTCCCTGTGGAATGGAAGCTCTCATGCGTGGATGCTTCTGAGCACAGGGAAGGGCCCTGGACTATCCCACAGTACAGCAGTTTTCACAACGTGCTTCCTGGGGCTCTGCAGGTCCAGGAAGGTGTCTTAGGAGTCAAGGTCGGGTGAAGCAATGCAGGACAGCTCTGGGATCTCGAGTCAGAGCAGCCTGAGCTGCCTCTCCCTCACTGTTACACAAACTGGGCTCCCAAAGCACATTGCACTCAGGGAAAGCATTCTACAGTGCAGCATGGTTGCAAACAAGTCAGACAGGCCTCGTTCAAGTCCTTGCTCTCCATTTGCTATCTTGAGCAAGTGACTTTGGGCAAGGTATTCCATCTCTCTGTGACTCGGGTTTATCCAGTCTGAAATGGAGAAGATAACAATAGAACCTGCTTACGGACCTCTTTTGAGAATTCAGTGTGATGACACACGCACACGTTCAGTGGGGAATAAAGACCAATAAATACCGGTTCCTCTCCCTCCCCAGGCCTTACTTTACTTAACCCCAAATGTTGCTTGGAGGAAACACTCACTTTTGAAAAAGGATGGAGAAGATTCAGAATCATTTATTCCTCTATCCAATCAACCATCCAGCTGGTTTAATTATTGTTTGAGCACCTATAGTATGCCTCTTGCTGTACCAGGGTTCGAATTCCAGAAATGAAAATGGGCACAGGGTACAGAATTCTCTGTGGTATCTGCCCATGTTTCCGTTCATCCATTTTTCCAACCATCCATCCATCCATCCATCCATCCATCCTTCCAACAAGTACTCACTGAATACCTGTGTGTCAGGTGATGTGCAGTGACCTGCCTGGGTATTTGACCCTATCTCATACTTGCTTCTAAGTTTTCTGCCTTTTCCCATACCACTCAGCTTAGAGGTCTTCTTAATCCTGGCTCTGTCACCTTAGATATCCTCCTAGAGGGCCGTGCAGCCCCCAGCATGCAGCAGGCAGACTGCTGAGAGATGGCGTGTGATGTCAGCGCCCCTAGTGGTTATGGATGTGGAGTATGCTGTGGTCCTCTTCGTAGGCACTTTGTTTACACTTTGTTGCATTGTACAACCCCTGATCTTGTTCTAAATGTCTAACGGAATACGGGAAAAAGAGTATGTTGTAAACACAGAACAAGGGGCCTCTCCAATGAGTGGGGACATAGGAAGACTGGAATGTGATCCCCAATACATGACAGAGCAGAATGACGGGTTTTGTGGCCTCCCTCTCTCCGTGTGGATATGCATGTGTATATGTATATTAGTGACACAGCCACACTAGTGTGTGGGCTTGGTAAATATCTACATGTATGACCCAGTGTATGAACGAATAAGCCCGTGTGCACAGGAGTGGAATGTGTGCATATTTGAATGTGTGTGAATGTGTATTTAGAGCATAGGTATTGTGTGCCTGCATTGATATGTACGTGTGCGTTTCTGTTTGAGCTTGCAGGTTTATGGGTGAGTGTGGACACACGAGCAGCTGTGTCCGTGAGTAAGAAAACCGTACTGCTAGTTGCCCCCCACATCCATTATTCTACTCTTGTATGTTATAGACTTTTTGCTACTTATGTGCCTTTTCAGAATCGAGATTTGCTTTGTAGTCTCCCTTGCAGCATGGTTTTGCCATGTGAGTAAGTTCTGATCAATAGGATGTGAGCAGAAATGCGGTGAAGAACCACTAGGTCATGCCTCTGAAGGGCAGGATGTGCTCTCCTCATTCCCCGTGGGTCCTCACTGCCATGGGCTGGAATGCAGGCAGGGGGGTGAGCCATCTTGGACCACATGTCAAGGGCAAACCCCACGTGTGGAAGAACAGCAACATGACGGGAGGATCCTGGGCCACACCCACTCTGGAGCCTCTTTACTGGCCCTTACCTGCTTGTTCCAGATTGTTTCATGAGACATCAAGGAGGTTCTTATTTAAGCCACTGTCCTGAGTCTCAGTAACAGAAGCCGTATGCAGTTGTATCTTTGCACCATACAATGCACGTATATCCACGCATAATTCCGGTAAAGGCAATTTCTTCCCTGTAGAGTTGGAATGTCTCCAGTTTGATATCTGCATGTTCTCCGGCTCAAAAGACTGCCTGGCATGTTGCAAAGTGTCTGGTTTATTTGGAAAGGGAAAGATGTGAGGTTGACAGTGTTGAGGAGCTAGCTGTCGGGCCATATGACATGTCCAGGAGAGGAAAAAAGGGGTGCCTTCTATTTAGAGACCTGACCACCAGTGTATGACCTTGACCAAGTCTTCCCTGACCACTTCCCACCTAGGCTGTACTTCCTTCCCGCTAGAACGAAGCAGTTGGACTATTATCCCTATAGATCCTTTCCACTTCAGAGGTTTGGAGTTGGTGGCTTTCACATTATTAGTTCTCTTGGCTTCTGGCCCCTGGAAATTCTTAGTATGTTCTCAAGAAGATGTATGCATCTGGGAAGCCTCTGGGTCTTGGTGCTTCAGGGTGTAGGCTATGGGACTGAAGACCTGGAGGCAGCCATATGCAGAAAAGCCTACAGACCTTCTGCTTCAGATGCTCTGAATGTTTGAAGACTTGCGGCCTTAGCCACAGATTATGTGTGACACAGGCATGAATTTGCTTCACAGTGTTAGGGTGCAGAAAACTTCACATTTCTTCATTTTCCTAAGTGAAATGAAATCTGGCTCTAAGCCCCCACTCCCGTGACTAGTGGGAGGGGCACTGTCTGTCATTATTAGGCTGCCTGCCCCACAATGAGATGGTATCAAATCTTCGAGCTTCTGTTGGTACCAGCAGGGGTGTGGTCCTCAGGTGTCCATTGTGGGAAGCGCTGTGTGCGGTGGCTCAGTGGAGCTGTGGCTCAGATAAGGATCCCCGTGGGCTTGAAAGTCTCATTCTTGGTCATCACACCTGGGATTCAAGTGTCACCCCATCCAAGGGGTGCCTCCTTTGGGACACTGTAAGGGAGAAGAGCACAGGTCTTCAGCACTTCAGGTCTGGCTTGCTGCACCCTCTTGGTTCTGGGAACTCCAGTTCTCAGCAAGCGTGATGTTCTCCTGTCCTCCATTCACCCACCCGCTCTTCTCTCTTTGTTCCTCTGCAGTGACCCCCACTTAATTCTGTGCTCAGTCTGACCTGCCCACTATGGACAAGAGGGACTCCTGGAATTCAGAGAAGCTCTGACCATTCCCTTCCCTCCATCCAATGACCTGCTTAGACCTTCAACTGACCCTGCCCTGGAGAAATACGATTTGAGCCTCATGTGTAATTTAAAATTTTCCTGTACTGCCCAAAAACAGTATAATAAAATGGATGAAATTTACTCTTGGAAGTATTTATTTATTTATTTATTTATTTATTGTTTTCCATAACTGAGCTCATTCACAATATTGGCATTTGAACATATAATCAGTATGAAAGTATTAATGAGATATTTTGCATCAGTTGTTCATACTACGCCATTGAACTCCAGTGTGTATTTGACACTGATGCCATGTCTCTGCTTGGATGAACCACATGTGGAGCGCTCGGCAGCCCCATGTGCTAGTGGCTCCCACACTGGACCGTGCAATCTTAGTACAATACAGCAGCAACAAAATGTGGCTGGGAGGATGGGTGAAACAGCTGAAGGGGATTAAGAGGACACTTATCATGGGCAGCACCGAGTGATGTACAGAACTGTTGAATCACTGTGTTGTACACCTGGAACTAATAGAGGGCTGCATGTTCAGTACACTGGGATGAAAGGTAATTGATGAAAAAATAAAGTGACTAATTCAGTGGCATTTAGTACATTCACAGGGTTGTGGGACCATCACCTCTAACTAGCTCCAGAACATTTTTGACAAGAAACCCTGTGCTCAGAAATCAGTTGCATTTCTCTACACCAAGAGCAAGACAGAAGAAAGAGAAATTAAGGAGTCATTCCCATTTACAGTTGCACCCAACACTATAAGATACCTAGGAATAAACCTAACCAAAGAGGCTAAGAATCTATACTCAGAAAACTATAAAGTACTCATGAAAGAAATTGAGGAAGACACAAAGAAATGGAAAAATGTTCCATGCTCCTGGATTGGAAGAACAAATATTATAAAAATGTCTATGCTACCTAAAGCAATCTACACATTTAATGCAATTCCTATCAAAATACCATCCATTTTTTTCAAAGAAATGGAACAAATAATCCTAAAATTTATATGGAACCAGAAAAGACCTCAAATAGCCAAAGGAATATTGAAAAAGGAAGCCAAAGTTGGCTTCAAGCTCTATTACAAAGCTGTCATCATCAAGACAGCATGGTACTGACACAAAAACAGACACATAGATCAATGGAACAGAATAGACAGCCCAGAAATAGACCCTCAACTCTATGGTCAACTAATCTTCAACAAAGCAGGAAAGAATGTCCAATGGAAAAAGACAGCCTCTTCAATAAATGGTGTTGGGAAAATTGGACAGCCACATGCAGAAAAATGAAATTGGACCATTTCCTTACACCACACACGAAAATAGACTCAAAATGGATGAAGGACCTCAATGTGAGAAAGGAATCCATCAAAATCCTTGAGGAGAACACAGGCAGCAACCTCTTCGACCTCAGCCGCAGCAACTTCTTCTGAACATCGCCAAAGGCAAGGGAAGCAAGGGCAAAAATGAACTATTGGGATTTCATTAAGATCAAAAGCTTTTGCACAGCAAAGGAAACAGTTAACAAAACCAAAAGACAACTGACAGAATGGGAGAAGATATTTGCAAATGACATATCAGATAAAGGGCTAGTGTCCAAAATCTATAAAGAACTTAGCAAACTCAACACCCAAAGAACAAATAATCCAATCAAGAAATGGGCAGAAGACATGAACAGACATTTCTGCAAAGAAGACATCCAGATGACCAACAGACACATGAAAAAGTGCTCCACATCACTCGGCATCAGGGAAATACAAATCAAAACCACAATGAGATATCACCTCACACCAGTCAGAATGGCTAAAATTAACAAGTCAGGAAATGACAGATGCTGGCGAGGATGCGGAGAAAGGGGAACCCTCCTACACTGTTGGTGGGAATGCAAGCTGGTGCAACCACTCTGGAAAACAGCATGGAGGTTCCTCAAGATGTTGAAAATAGAACTACCCTACTATGACCCAGCAATTGCACTGCTGGGTATTTACCCTAAAGATACAAATGTAGTGATCTGAAGGGGCACGTGCACCTGAATGTTTATAGCAGCAATGTCTACAATAGCCAAACTATGGAAAGAACCTAGATGTCCATCAACAGATGAATGGATAAAGAAGATGTGGTATATATACACAATGGAATACTATGCAGCCATCAAAAGAAATGAAATCTTGCCATTTGTGACAACGTGGATGGAACTAGAGGGTATCATGCTTAGCGAAATAAGTCAATCGGAGAAAGACAACTATCATATGCTCTCCCTGATATGAGGAAGTGGAGATGCAACATGGGGAGGTTAAGGGGGTAGGAGAAGAATAAATGAAACAAAATGGGATTGGGAGGGAGACAAACCATAAGTGACTCTTAATCTCACAAAACAAACTGAGGGCTGCTGGGGGGAGGGGGGTTGGGAGAGGGGGGTGGGGTTATGGACATTGGGGAGGGTATGTGCTATGGTGAGTGCTGTGAAGTATGTAAACCTGGTGATTCACAGACCTGTACCCCAGGGGATAAAAATACATTATATGTTTATTTTAAAAATAAATAAATTAATTTAAAAAAAAAAGAAACCCTGTGCTCATTAAGCAGTTTTCTACCCATGGCCCTTCTCTCCAGTTCCTGGCAACCCATCATCTACTTTCTGTCTCTGTGGATTATCTATTTGGGATATGTCAAATAACTGAAATCATTTGGTATATGACCTTTTTGTGACTGGTTTCTTTCACCTAGTGTAGTGTTTTCCTAATTCATCTGTGTTGACACCTGTCAGTACTTTGTTCCTCAAGTGGGGTTCCATTGTATGGATGTGCCCCATTTGTTTGTCCATTTCTCCTTTGATGGATACCCATAGTCTCTTAATCAGTTTGAAGTTTGGAGGGGCACCTGGGTGGCCCAGTGGGTGAAGTATCCAACTCTTGACTTTGGCTCAGGTCGTGATCTCGGGGTCATGGGATAGAGCTCCACGTTGGCCCCGTGTGCAGTGGGAATCTGCTTGGGATTCCCTTTCTCTCTCCTCTGCCTTTCCCCCACGTTCTTGCTCACTCTCTGTAAAGAAATAGATAAATAAAATCTTAAAAGAAAAAGAAAGCAAGAAGTTTGGCCACAAACTAACAAAATGGTGGCTTGAATACCCCCATGTTCATAGTAGCATTATTCTCAATAGACAAAAGGTGGAAGCACCCTGCATGTCCATCAGGGGATGAAAGGATAAACAGAGGTAGCTTAGACCTGCATTGGAGGATTCTGTAGTCTTAAAAAAGAAGGAAATGCTGACCCATGGTACCACATGGATGGACCTTGAGGACATTACACAAAGCGAAATAAGACAGACAAAAGAGCAAATACTGTCCAATTCCATTTATGAAATGCCTACAGTAATCTAGATAATAGAGACAGAAAGTAGCAAGGTGCTTACCGGGGACCAGAAGGAAGAGAGAACGAGGCATTCTTTCATGAGGACAAGAGTTTCAGTTTGGGAAGATGGGAAAATTGTGGAGATGTACAGTGTTGATGGTTGCACAACGATAGTCCTTGGTGCCATTTAACTGTATGCTGAGAAATGAAACGTGTTGATATGTGTATCTTGAAAACTATTTTTTTGACTCCTAGATTGATTTTATTTTTTTATTTTTTTTATGATTTTTTATTTATTTGACAGAGATCACAAGTAGGCAGAAAGACAGGCAGAGAGAAGAGGAAGCAGGCTCCCCACTGAGCAGAGAGCCCCATGCGGGGCTCGATTCCAGGACCCTGTGATCACGACCTGAGCTGAAGGCAGGGGCTTTAACCCACTGAGCCACCCAGGTGCCCCAACTCCTAGATTGATTTTAAAGAACTAGCCATTGGCTAAAGGAATTAGGAAAAAGCAAGTCTGTTTTCCCCACTCTCACAAAGGAGCTATTCCTGGATCACATTTGAGGTCATTAAATCTTCTTTGCTCACTGTTAAATTCTTTCCTTTTTTTTTTTTTTTTCTTTTTGACTAATGCTAGCTAAGGCTTATTTATCAATACAGGGGTGATAACATAATATTTTATACCCTCGCTTTATCTAAAACACAGCCATGCTCCGAATGGGCACTCCTTGAAAGAAGAATGTATGACAGGTTATAAAAGAAAATATAAGTTGTAAATCTGTGCCATCTTTTTCTGCCCCAGACCCACCTGGCTTACTACTCTCTTTTCTTACACAGTATCTGGGTGATGGTAGAAAAGGAAAACTGGAAGAAGCCAGAGAGCTGACACCAAATAGGGAAATGAGAAAAAGCAGAAAGACTGCTAGGGTTTGATTTATGCGCTAGTCTTAGGGGGCATGGAACGACAAGAACATAGACAGCCTGGGGAGAGGGGTTTGGAGTTTTGTTGTGCACTAAGGTGGTCTTTATCCCTTGGCATTTTTAGCAAACGCTGCAGCAGAGATGTAAATCGTCTTTATGATTTATTTGAATGTCATAAGGAGATGAGGTGAGGCACAAAGTGTCAGGGTCACCTTTGGGTCCCATTCGCATCCCCAGGACCTGGGAAACTGTCCAGTAGTTGTGACCGAGTCGGCGGTATTTGACGAAGGAGTCGATCCTCTGCGTGGTCATTGGGAGCTCATCCTTCTCAACTCCCTCGTTTCTCTTGCATCCGCCCAACACCTTGTGAAGGGCCCATCTGAAGGGATCCACTGAAAGACGCAAGAGTGGTTCCCTGTGTAGTGGGAATACTATAGCCGTTGTCACTTAATGTCATCCTCATGCTCTGGGAATGAGCTGAAGCCAGAGAAGACAGTGGTGGTATCAGAAAGTATGTGGAGAATAGCTGTACATCACCTCATTTAGTGGAGGGGGAAGTCAGCATATTCATAAATGTGCATTCGGTCTGAAAGCCAATAACTTAAGTCATTCAAACTCTGTCTTATTGGACCATATAGCCGCTGGCAGTATTTCATATAAAGGACTCTGTAGAAGGATAAATTCTGTTGACTGAATTGAACATCAAGTAATAACCCTGCCACCTACTCTTTTTTTCCTGGCCTTCCCAGCCTACGAATTTTGATGCATTACAAAAAGTTCTATGGCAGCAAGATCACTTAAACCAAAAGCTATCCCAGTAGCAACACAAGCACCTTTAAACCGGAGATAAGCTCATTTGCC